ACTGGCTTCAGAAGTTTAGGAAAAGTTCTTCCACTTACAATGCCATTTCTTGATTTCTCTGCACTATACTTGTAGGAGGCTATTGCCTTTCTTTTCCACATAACATCGCTCAAAGAGAATCCAGAATTTCAAGACAAATAATGGTTTAAACAAAGATGTGCTATTGTGGTATTAAAAAATGCAAACTCTCAAGAAAGGGCATTTCCAGTGTCGAAACTTTCATGAATGTCTTTTCTCTGACAGCAGATTTCAATTCCAACCGGTAAATCTGCCCCTTGGAGAACTCTGTTATTTGTATGATTCATTTGCTACATTGCTCTAAGAAAAAAAAATAAGTTGCACACAGTTTGGAATGCCCTGAATAGTTTGAAAAAAGAAACTCTAGAATTTAATTTCATGTAAAGAATAAAAGAGGTGTGGTTCATTTGTTTGTTTAATAGAGGCATTGAAATACTTGTTTTAATTTGTACAATATACCCAGCCTTGCTATGTCTTTCTTTTACCTTTTCCCCTTTTATTATATCTGATAAAACTCAACTGGGAGACGAAATAGTGACAGAATTTATGGCCAAGAACACTTGATATATGTATTATGGAAATAAGGAAAAAAATTAATTCATTCTCAGGATAAAGATACTAGGATTACTTTTTATAATTATTTGTTTGTTCTTCCATGACAGCAATGTCATCTTACCTTAACATTTCTAGTGGATTGGTCTCATGCACTTGGTTTCCACACCTGGGACAGTCATTGCTGTCTTCAAAGTGTTGAACGATGCAAGTCTTACAAACTGAAGGACAAAAAGAGAAAAAACCCAGCTTAGACCAGGATCTAAATCATATTGCTTGAACATGACCTGATGACACCAGCTAACTACATGCAAAGATAAAAGAGCATGGTTTTAAAGCAAGTAATTCCAATTCCACTTCTTGTTCCTCAGAGCCACAGTGGGTTCTGCCGAGTCCAGCAGGTCAGACAAGCACCGCTTTAAATGATGGGGTATTTTTACTATTACAAAGATAAAAGAGCATGGTTTTAAAGCAAGTAATTCCAATTCCACTTCTTGTTCCTCAGAGCCACAGTGGGTTCTGCTGAGTCCAGCAGGACAGGTCTGCTTTAAATGCTGGGGTATTTTTACTACCTGTAATTCTCCCAGTGTCATAAAATGCAAAACTCAGAGTATGTAGCATGTGTAAAAAGGAGGTTCTGAGGATGCACATCCCGGGGAGCGCTGGCCCCATGGAGCCCATCCTCACTTCAGGCCATCTGAAAAGAACTTCTGCACATTATTTTCTTCCCAACACTGCTGCTGGCGACTGAAAATACTGTTGTAAATACTTCTTGTGAGAGAAAAGTTGACAGAAATTGCACAGGGTTCAAAGTGGCTGTTTCCCTTTTGATGTAGCACCTTTGAAAGCAATGACAGAACTTACGGTAAACATTTAATACTTGAATTTTATAATGAAAAACCAGGATCGTGACCACGGCAAGTATAACCAAACCCAACCCAACGACGATGTGAATTTAAAATCCAATGAACTGAAATTAAACTAGACAAGGTGCTACACTACTGTTGCTTCCAAGTGATGAACTGCAGACTGTAAATGTTACTGCCATTAATAAGCAAGGGGAACACAGGCTGATGAGAACAAACACCCCTGCTATTATTACTCCTGCGTTACAGCGTTCTGGATGGAGATAAACTCCATCCCCTGTTTATTATTACTTCACTTAAACCAAAACGAGAACTGCAAATACATCAGTAAATGGAGTGAAAAAATAAAGGGCCTGTTGTGATTGCAAATATGCTTTCTGCTGAAACACAGTGATTTCTTCCATCATTTACCTAAAGAACTACCACTCCAAAGTGGAGCCCAGAGCAGGGGTGCTGGGGCAGCACCAGCCCGCCCGCCGGATACAACCCAGCTTCTTCTTAACCTCAGGTGGTGAGGTGTTCAGTGCTGGCACTCAGAGCCACAGAACTCTTCTGATATCACAGGTCTTTTATAATGTGTTAAATTACTAGACTTAATGGATTTTTGTACACACGTTCCCTAACACGCACTTCCAGTGGGTGAGAAGGCTGGTACAGAGCAGAAAATGTGACTTTCTGTCCGTACAACATTTCTTCACTTTTCTATGTATTTTTTATAGCTCATACTCCTAATACTAAACATCTTGCTACTAGACTTCAAGAATACAAAGAATTTCATCACCCACATAGAAGCCCAACAGAGTATTTAAGAACACACTTTAATTAAAGTCCCAATAACTTTTAAAATATGAGTAGTTAAGATTTGTATAATCTCTCTTCATTGGTGTGACTGAGAATCTCCTCAGAGATGGCCAAACTGCATTTAAATTTATTTATTTAAGCAACCCAGAGATTCTGAGAAAGAAGATAGTCTAGAAAAGGAAATATTCCCATGAATGGGAAGTAGGTAACATTGAAAATCCTATCTTCTCCATTCATTAATGGAGGAGATGTCTTCCTATTTCTGAATACAAAGAATTTCATCACCCACATAGAAGTCCAACAGAGTATTATTTTTTTTTGTAAGCCTCCTGTCCAGTACAAACAGCAGCATCTCTGTGGAGTCAAGTCTTTCTAACCCGACACCAATTTTAAATGATTGATAAAGAATAATAATAAAAATAAATGGAAAAATGGTGTAAGGGTAGTTGATATTGGTCAATATTAATTTTGCAACTGGTAGGCCTGACCCCTAACCTTCTCTTATTTTGAAATTTTTTAGCAGGGGAGACTCTAAGAGGATTAGCATGAAAATTCTTCAGAAGGAAAAAAAAAAAAAAAAAAGGACATTTTTGAGCATGATTCTTCTATATTATTGAAGTAGAGAGCACCAAAGCAATTAAATGTAGAGATACAAGGTCTGTGTGAAGTGAACCAAAGGACTAAGGAGGATTAGCCTATTAAATCTGATGTCAGACAGAGCAAAAGTCTGAGAGTCATAGCAAAAGGCACTTCTCGGATGACTTCAATGAGAATGAAAATAGCCATATTCTGCCCCAGGAATCTGTCAAATAGGCTCCCGCCAATGAAGCTCTTCAACTGCAGGACTTGACACCTCACAGTCCTGGTGTCCTGGTGCTGGAGGTGGAGATGATGCCCCACTTTGCCAGCAGAAAGCACACGGATTAGTGGCGGGTGACGACAACACTGACGAGAACCGCAAGGGCAGGAATCCCCTGTGATCTCAGAAATCCCATTAGGTGGAGAACCTCAATCCAAAGAGTGTGGGGGGAAAAAAGGCTGAACAGTTGGTGTGACAATGACATTGTGAGGTCTAACAGGGTTGTGAACAAGGGCCATTCGGTAACTCAGCTGACCTCGCTGAGGTAGGGGAAGGGCTTGGTTGACTCCAGATCTTTTCTGCCTTGACCTCACAGAATCTGAGCTGAGGAATAACTCTTTTTCAATGGAGACGGAGTTCCTCTTCTGCTAACTCCTATAACAGAAGGGGTTGGTCTAATATTTTTTTTTGTAAGGCTCCTGTCCAGTACAAACAGCAGCATCTCTGTGGAGTCAAGTCTTTCTAACCCGACACCAATTTTAAATGATTGATAAAGAATAATAATAATAAAAAAAAATAATGGAAAAATGGTGTAAGGGTAATTGATATTGGTCAATATTAATTTTGGAACTGGTAGGCATGACCCCTAACCTTCTCTTATTTTGAAATTTTTTAGCAGGGGAGACTCTAAGAGGATTAGCATGAAAATTCTTCAGAAGGATTACCAGTGGCTTCATATCAATAGCAGAGTGGTTTCTTGTTTTCTGTAAGCAATTAGTAGTGACCTCCTTCAGAAAGCACTTCCCTGTGTTTTACAAAAGCTATGTCTGAATTTCTTGGAAGAGAATTTAACTCCCTTCTCCTGCTGTGAGGATCTCTGCTCCGTTCACAGCAGAGAAGGTCTCAGAGTCCGTGACGATGTGACACTGATCTGACTGCTTTGAAAAGGACTCATGATTTGTCTTACAAAGATATTTTAAGCTCGGCTTTGGTAGGCTTTTTGTTTGTTTCCAAACTAGAGACAAATAGGACCTATCCAAGCTATGGCTTTCATTTACATTAAGAAGAAATTTTAAGTTATGACTGCTCAGAAGAACTCTCTGCCAGAGGACACATAACTAACACACTTATTGAAAGTCAGATGATTGACTCCCCCAAACCTCCCAAACGCTAAACATAAAGCCTGCTAAAATCCACAATAACCTAACTTGAAGAAATATTTATAATATAAACCAATCTATGGAAAGCAACTGAATTCCTCAGTCTGAATATATTTATGTGCTCTCTCAATACATTTTTTTTGAGTGGTCCAAGAAAGTGACTAGAGCCAACAGGATCGCCATCAGCTCAGGGGAAAAAATGGGGTGTCTGTACTCTGCAAAGTGCCAACATGCCCTAGAGATGACCCAAAGGGCAGAGCAGAGTCTAGGAAACCCCACCAGAAACTGCAGAGTCACAGAATCCCAGAATGATATGGGGTCAGAAGAGACCTCTGGAGATCATCCAGTCCAACCCCCTGCCACAGCAGGTCCACCCAGAGCAGGTCCCACAGAAACGTGTCCAGGTGGGGTTTGAATGTCTCCAGAGATGGAGACTCCACCACCTCTCTGGGCAGCCTCTTCCAGGGCTCTGCCACCCTCACTGGAGAGAAGTTCCTCCTTGTGTTTAGGTGGAACTTGTTAGATTCAAGTTTGTGCCCATTTCCTCTTGTCCTGTCCCTGGGCACCACTGAAAAAAGACTGGCCTCATCCTCCTGACACCCACCCTTGAAGGATTTATAGGTGTTCATCAGATCCCCCCCTCAGTCTTCTCTTCTCCAGACTAAACAGACCCAAGTCCCTCAGCCTTTCCTCAGCAGAGAGATGTTCTGGTCCTCTCATCATCTTTGCAGCCCTCTGCTGTCCCCTCTCCAGCAGTTCCCTGTCCTTCTGGATCTGAGGAGCCCAGAACTGGTCCCAGTGCTCCAGATGGGGCCTCCCCAGGGCAGAGCAGAGGGGGAGCATTTCACCCAAAGCTCTGGGAGCAAACAAAACCCAGCCTGGGGGATCATCCCCAACACCTAACGCTTGGAGAAGTGCCACTGGGGAAGGCGGGCTGTTTGGCCAAGGGGTACTTACAGGTGTGGAGGCACTCGGTGACCGTGGTGGGCTTGATGAGATAACCTTTGCAGATATAGCAGGTGATGTGGGGGTTGAAATCTTTCACCAAGTGCTTCCTCTGAGTAGCCATTCGTGGGGCGGGAGGTGCCGGGCGAGCGCTGGGTGCCGGGGGAGCGGTGTGCGGTGCCGTTCAGGAGAGCTGAGGCGCTGCTCGGCGCGGCTGCACCTCTCCGGGCATTTGGCTCCCAATGGCGGGGCTCTCACGGGCAGGTGACTCCTAACTCCTGCTGCTGGGCCACCGGGGGCATCTTCCTACCTGGAACACGGGTGGGGAGAGACAGGCCGTGAGCCGGGATGCCCCGCGGGACGAGTGCCGCCATCAACTCGGTGGGGACACCCGGCTGGCTCCGGGCCCCGCCGCGACGGGACGGGTGGCCGGGGGCTGCGGTGACAGGTGCGGGGGCCACCGGCCGGCCC